GTTCAGTTAAGTGTATATATATATATATATTATTTATTATTGACTATTTTTTGTTATTAAAATCTGTGAAAAGCAAACAAAAAGGTAGAGAAGAATTACAAACCTGACATGGAGGCAGTCAGTTTGGATGTACCATAATAAGTATTTTCTTGGTTTTACCACAGGTAACTCGGACACCAACTTAAGATACTCGTAATTTGTATTATTCTTGAGAATTTCAAATTAAAAATTAGTTATCGAGATTACTTTAATCCCCAGCCTTGATTTCATATAGAATGAAATATATTATTTATTTCAACTCAAAATAAACACTAAAGAGCTATGTTGTTTTTGCAAAGGTCAGTATGAGAATTATCTTAGTTTGATGAAGTGAGCTAGATTATACCACTCAATTTATCCCTGTTTTGGTACTGATGACCTTGTCTGGATTATAGATGACAAGTGAAATGTTGCCTGTAGGAAGGGCATTCATTTTTTCTTCTTGTAATCCAAAAGTATAGGTTTATAAATATTATTAGGTAATTGTTATCCCTTCAAATTATAATGATTCATGTTTTCTTTTTCTTGTGATTTTTTCTTTTTGATATTGTTTTTATTAGTCAGCCCTTTATGATGTCACAGCTTGTAGTTTGAAAAATTACTAATGAAGCTTAACTTTGAAAATAGTTAGACCTAATAGTTGATAATGGTTAAATAAAGGAGGTTAAATTTTATTTATGTAAACATAGAGTAAATATGGATTTGAGCAGTAATTGGTGGTTTCTTGGGATATAGGCTATCTGGAGCTCTTATAGGAGTGAACAAATGATTCTAAAAATTTATGACACTTAGGAGCAAAACATATATTTGTGAACTTTTTATAGTTACTTTTGATGTTGTTTTTTGTTCCTGAAATTGTTTTCATGTCTATTTGAAAGCAATAGAAACTTTTTTTCTGTGACAAGACAACAGATAAGCTAAATCTAATGAGTACAGTAAATGATGGCAAAAATATTCCAATCACTTAGATCCTTTTTTTTATTGTATATTATTGTTAATTTTGTGAATAACACACCAAATAACACACACAAATGGAAAAAACATATTTATTGAAAATAAACCATTTTTATTTGATAAAAATTTTATCTCAATCAAGAATATTGTAAGCAAAAATCACAATACCTGTTCTGATAAAGGTAACAGTGACATTATTTTGCAGGTGTGATCCTAGGCTGCCAGTTAATCCTTGTTAATTTTTGCCATGTTTTGTACAATTTATAGCAAAATAAAGTATCAAGAGAAATGTTTTAATATACATCAATTAAGCTGAAGCTAATTGGATATAGAAAATGAAATTTTCTAATCAACAATAAAAAATTTAAATTGTAAAACAAAATAAAGTATTTTAACATTTTCCCAAGATTATATCTCACAACGAAATATTGGAAATTTCTCTGGCTAAAGAATGATAAATACTAATTAAATATACAAATTTTTCAAGCAGGAATTAAATACTATTTAGTAAGTTATATTGCATTTTGTGCAATTTGGTTAAGTATTTTCACTGTAAGGAGGATAAAATTAGGATATCAATGACACCCATGTTCCAGAAAGGATTAACAAAGCTTATTTATACAGCTTCTGGTCAATGTGTTTACAAACTAAAAATATTCAATATTAAATGCTGTGGGATATGAGAAATGAAGAAAGCAAATTGAAGTTAACAACACATCCATACACTTAAAATATTCAATTACCCACTTTTTAGATGAACACGCACATCTTCAGGTATGACTAACTTAAGCCTGTTTGAACGTAACAGTGCATACAATAATCAAAATTTAATGAACAGGAAACCCAACTCTCAGAAACCAGATGTGTTTTACAAATATTAAACATTTCTCATGCAGTTTTTATCATTTTAAAAATGGATATTGTACATGTGTATTTTACTTCCTCTGTGATATGTTGTGTACTATATCTACTTAACTGAAGTTTGTCAGCTTTTTTATAATTTTTTTGCCATCTTTACATAATAAAATATAACAAAAATTATTGATTGTTTTGATGAACTATCATAACGAAGTCATCAGAAAAGTAGGTTAGAGGTAAACATATCAAAGCAACTTTATAATGTTTTGTTTTATCACCTCCAATAACATTTTATATAATTATGAAAGAAAGTCAAACTTAAATGATTGCTGTTTAACAGGAGGCCAAAGAGTTCTTCAGAAAGTGAAGAAGAGTTTGAGAAATGTAAGTTTTAGAAGTTTAGTTGTTTTGTTCTCTCATATTTATGTTTTGTGACTATTTTGAATAACCAAAGATATTGTAATAAGGTAATAGTTTATGTTCATATTGGTAAATTACGTTTATGCGTCATTGAAATTGTAATAACTTGTATGAATCATAGGATTCCTTCAAATCTAAAGTTGCTTGTTTGTTATCTAGCTTTTTTACAAACTTGACATTGATGGTTGCTGAATAAAAGTGATCACTCATTTCAAAAATTCTAATAATCATCAACTGTATTTTAGAAATTGCAAAGACTTACATTTTTAGTATACTGAATTCTCATTGTAATAGTGTAGGAAAATTAAGAAATGCTATAATTTTAGAGTATGTAAATACACCTCATTAAAATTTTTGTCTAGATATCAAAATTGCTGAGTGAAAGAGTGTATAAGAGCTGACAGAAAAAAGCAAAGTAATACATTTCAGTCATGCCTTTGTTATGTAGTTAGACCCACCTTATATTTGCTACCTCACTCACTTGGTAAGAAGACTTTTGAGTTGGCTTCTGTGTTCCTCCTTTTTTTGACAGTAATAACTTATATACAGATCTGCTGTATTTTTTGTTTTCAGTTTCAGTTTTCACTTGGTTGTAGTGGAAAAACTGTGTGTAAAGGGGTTTGAAATCAATATCTATTATATCAGTTCTGAGTTTCGTATACCATAAGTAAGCCTTTGTTAAGAGAAATGTGACCTTGGTACATTTAGGTAATTTGAAATAGTAATTTTGTTTAGACAAATTTTTGATTTTATAACTTTATTGTTAAAACATTGCTGTGGTGTTTATCTGTCACACAGAATTTGAAAGTGCTATTGTTGATAATGTCATTTGTACAGAAACAATCAGAATATATGTGTACATTAAGAAAAGTTGATTTTCTTTTAGAATAAAATATGTTTATCTTTAAAGCTCTTTTTCAAAATGAATGGACTTACCTGCCTACACTTCTCCTTTTGTTGTAATTCTTGAAACTTTGTGACTGTTGTGCTTGCGAAACTTGCTGGTGGTTGTTCTTTGATTTATTTGTGATGGTGCATGATTAACTATAATGAAGTACCCCTCCAAATATGCTGTTTGAGTGTTCATAATAAAATATTTTAAAACAAGTATTTCTCTCAGGATTTTTTTTTTCTCAGAACAAAATAGGAACTTTAAAGTTCATGAAACATAAGAGAAATTTTTAAGAATTAAAGCATTACTTAAAATCTATAATGTTCAGAGTCTGTTTTACAATCATTACTTAGTGTTTATATTCTTGTACTAAAACTAGTAAGAGGTATCTGTTTAAATTTGTGGTAACAAATACAACTAATTCCAAGGAAATGGAATGAGGGTTAAAGTCTGCTTGAGCATATAATATGAGTTAATGTTTGAAAATGAAGATGAATATTCAAACCCTGGTGTGTCTATATTTTTCGTTAATGGTAGATTTTGTTGGAAATTATATATATTTTTTACTAAAAGATAATATAGGTGATGGATTATTTGCAGATAAATATATAGTGCTTTATAAGCCATTGCAGGAAAGGGTAATTAGTAAATTTAACATTTAATATGACTAAGTCAAATATATTTATTGACTTTTCTAATGCAATGATTTAATTGAATTCTATAAGTTTTTTATAGTAGAACGTTTATATTTTAGAATAATTGTCTCAAAAGAAAAGCTTTTTATAGAAAAGGCTTAGGATCATGATAAATGCCAGTCCTAAGTTTTTTCTTGAGGCAGTGAAAATCAATATAAGCTAAAATATTTTTGTGCTTAAGTTATTCATCATTTAAATTCAAATAGTTTTGGACCGGATGAAAACTCCAGCCAAATATTGCCCTTCATCATCAAGGTGAGTATCTTACGATTGTATAATAGTTAAATGTGTTTATGACATATGATATTTTTCAAGTTCTATATAGGTTAAAGTGAGTTATTTACAATTTTCAATGAGTATTTAAATAAATGTGAGAAAACAAAACAAAGTAGATGTTCATTTGTATTTGGAACTTAAAAACTAACATTAAAAATATAACATTCATTGCACTGAAAAATCATATATTCTAACATTAGAAACATATTGTTAGAATATTTTTTAATAACATTCTTTAAAAATAAATGGGTTGAAAATTTTTCATATTCAGTTACATCTGTGGTTCTTAACCTTTTTTGCTCCATGCCCCACCTCGACACCCTTAATATAAAAACAAATTTGGTGTTGAAAAGGTATAATAATATAATGTAAAATTTTTCGTATTGTAGCATTTTCAAATTGCCCCCCTGTGGGGCGTGTGCCCCATGTTCAGAATCACTGAGTTACATGTTTTAATTATCTATAAAGTGTTAAATGAGTGTTAGAGGGATTGAATTGTAAGAATTTACCTTTTAGGTGGATCTGAGGACTAACTTATTAACTGTTGGGAAGGCAGTACGTCAGTGTAGAAATGTCACACATTAAGGTTAACCTTAACTTGTGATACTACTGAAAAAATCAGTTAGCATCAATCTCAACTTATTGAAAGTTGACAACCTTGCAAAATTTCAGACTTTTAATGGTTAAAGTGCAACAGACACTATTAAGGACATTTTTTGAATAATAATCAATATACGGATAACAAAAATTAAGAATGATGATATATAATTAAAGTAATACATAAAAGTTGATTGTTCTTTAAAAAATGGTAAACTTGAGAGGCTGTAATTATAGAGGTATTATAAAAATTTTATAACTTGTTTTTTTTTCTTTAAATGCTGGTATATAAGACTTCTTTTATCAGAATTTCTTAAATTCTATTCACAACTTTGAAAAATTTTATAAAAACTGCAAGGAACGAAAAGTTATCGAGTAACTATATTATTTACATGTTAACAAATATAGACTTATCTTTAACGCATGGTAAGTGCTCAGTACATATTAAACACCGAATGCTGTCAAGTCATCTGGTGTTGCCTTAAAAGCTAGCTGCCTTTTGTACAAAGACACAGTTATCCAAACTAAATAATTATAACTTGTTCTTGAATTGTACATTTTAACATTAATATTTAATTAACACAATTAACCTCACTCTTTGATTTGAAAAACTGTCAAAGTAAATACTAAATATAAGGCATTAACGAGTTAATGAAATAATTTTCTTGTGACATAAACATTGCACAAACATTTCTAGTTACTTGGTGGATGTTGTTTTCCTAATTACTGTACAAAAAGTTTCTACAAAGGTTTTCTGCACTTTATCCAGCAAATAACTTACTGTAGGAAGTTTGAGGGTAGCTTAAAAATTTTATTATATCTCTGTTGCTTTAGTGTTACACTTAAATATTAGTTTTGTAGAACACATATGTCAAGCTTTTATTTTAGTCTAGATTATTAAATAGAAGCAGATAGGAAGAGTATGGGTGTGGAAAACCAAAATCTAAACAAATATATATAAAAACTCCTAGTTAATGTGCATGTGTGGTACAGTTAATGTAAATAGAGATTTTAATGCAAATTATTTTGCTTTGAAATTTGTAACTTTTTTGCAGTAAATACTTGATTTGAAAATATTTATGTTCTTACTAAAAAGTTTATTTTCAAAGGTTTGGGTTATTGTTGCATAATTAGAAACCATTAGATTCAGTAAAAGCTTGCTTATTCACATTCTTGATAAGGAATATCTCTTTTATACCTTTTTTTAGCCCATGTTAAAAGTAGTGTGAATTGTTTAACATAAGTTTTATCAAGTTTTCAATTACTAAGATGTACTTTGTGCATAGTACCATAAAAAAATTATATCGTGCATTCACTACGTAACTTTTGTTGTGTGAAGTAAATGTTTGTAAATACTTGTTCAGAAGATACTCCATGTGAAACCATTTCGAGTCAAATTAAAATTTACATTAATGGCAAACGTAAGAATGAAATTTTATTTTTAAGTAATGAAATAATAATTCTTCTTTGTTCATTATACTACTTGTTTTTTAATTACTCATGATGTACACTATTTTATTTTTAGTGATGATAATTTTATTAATGATTCAACTGAAGAAGATGAAAGCTTTGAAAAAGTGTTGCATCTTGCTTTATCTGAACGGGCTTTTGCTTCTTCCAAAGTGGGTCATGAGCTGAGACAAGAGAGTTGTGGAGGTATTTGTAAAACTGCATTGACAATTACAGGTCAGAAGAAGAATGACAAAGTTTTTAGATCCAACCCACTTGCAACATGTCCTCGAGTTGGAATAAAGAAGATAATCAAACAACGTATAGAAAGCCCTATTGTCCACGATGAAGTTTTTTGTAATCCCAAAAACATTACTCCTGGTATGACATTTCCTAGTTTCAGATTTAAAAACCATTTTTTTCCTTATTTTTGTTGCATTATGATCTGGGTTCTCTGTTTTGGTTTTCTAAATTTTCATCAATAATTTTGGTTATTATAAAAAAAAATCAAATTTGGTTTTACTTAACCTTTTAGCAATGGGTTCGTGTAATATTATGGATTGCTGCATCGAGAATTTCACTTGTGCAACAGTACATACTGTAACTGAGATTTCTTAACATATCCTCTCAGAAATTGGTAAGATTTTGTTAAAGATTATAAGTATCTTGTACACAAAGAATGACATTATTTTAATTAATCTTTTTATTAGAAATAAGTTACCTGTTTATTGTACTTGTTTGTGCTCAGACTTTGAATAGTTCGAGTGCAAGGTGATTTTCATTTTAAGTATAAAAATACTTTTCTTCATCTTATAGTTTACTTATTTCTTTTACATAACCTATAGAACCTCCTAACTTAATATCAGAAGTTTCTTCAAAGGTAGATGTTTATATTTTATTTTTCATTTTCTCTACCATATAACCAGCTAGCTATCTTCATCAATGAATAATGCAATGAAATGGATAAAATTGGGAAATAGAAAAAAAGTACCTACCTTTTAGTTTTTCTAGAATATCTTCTTTTGGTTATATTTATAATTTCAGGTCTTTTCTTTTTCACATATAGTTGATTTTTAATTTTCCTTTCTTACACTTTACCATATGTTATTCATCTTGACACAAGTTAATGGTGACTTTGGGCCATATTACAGTATCTCTGGTAGAGATGCTTAACCCTTTGGAAAAATTTTTGTGCACCTCCTAATATCATAAGCCTTGAGAACTGATGCAAAGTATGATGTATATATCAAAAATGTTTAAACCTTTCAATTATGAATTTGAAAAAATATAATACATGATTAACTAAAATATAAAAGTAAGACCTAAAGGCAATTTAACTGTATGCTATAATCGATCAAGCAACCAACAATGCTACAGGCAGTCACATGTACCCTGTGATGAAAACAATGAGCCAATTTCAAAATAATTGTTGTTGGATTACAGTGTAAAATGAGGTCTTTATAATGACTATATACATGCATATATAACATCTACTTGTAGGCTATAAAGCTCAAACAAATCTACTGAAGGTGGGCACCAGTCAGAGGTTGACAAAATTTATTACTTGTTTCAACTGCATTCATCCAGAACTTCAAAATATATGTGTCAATAGGTTAAGTAAATGCCTTATTGTCTAAATGTACATCTACAAACTGGCAGTTTATTACTGAAGATACAGAGTGCCAAAGTAGAGAATTTTCATAGCTTGTGGGTCATGTGACAATACATCTGAAGTTTCAAGTTGTTTTTTGAAGGTTTCTTTTGAAATAAAGTACTTAACTTCGATAACATAAGACCTCGAATCCCAACATATATTATAATGTTAATTTCATTCGCATACATCAATAGTAAAGGTGTTAATTATATATTGAATGTAACACTGTGTCTTATGGAGAAAAATTTTTAAAAGGGGTACCCAGTGTGAAAGGGTTAATCTTGGTCCTCCTGGCACATTAGCACTTAAAAGTGTTATTAATATTATAAACATTTGATGTATATATCCTGAAGAAGAGCTTGCTTGTTACAACTAATTGAGGCTTATAAAAGAAGTGAGTGATTGGCTGTTTAATGTAAATGTCAAGTTGTTTTAATTGTTATTACACTGGTGGCAAATAATAACAGATACCTAAATGAGCAAAGCCAGTTAATTAAAATTAATGTTTAATTAGTGAAATTAAATTGTTTTGACTTTGTTTAAAGTTTATGGTATCAGAATGCTTTTATTTGGTGAATGATTGAGGAAGAGTGACTGATAACAGTGACAAAGTAATTATTTTTTGGTATTATGGAACTATATGATTGAATAGACTATTATTAAATTGAAAGTGAGCTTCAAAGAGGGAATTTGGAGACAGTCGTGCATATATTTAGCAATAACAGAAGCATTCTTTGAGCAATGTCTGTTGTCTTGGAATTTGTTCACAATTTCTTTTATTCCTAAATTTAATAGAAAATTGTTTTTTGTAGTGAATACACACATTAGTTAATGTACACACACATCTTATTTCCTAATTTTTCAGATTTTTGCCCCACTATGGAAGTTTCTTGATAGAAATGAACATTCTGTTGCAGGATTTCTAATTATAATGTTTTTGTTGCATTTGTTTTGTTTTTATGTTATTACATTTATTTTAATTGTAAATATTTTACAAGGTTATTTTTACTATAGAAGATTTTCATCACATGTCAGTTTTGTTGTCAGAAATTCATGAAAACTGCAGAAGTTTAGGAAAGTTGTAATTGTGTCTGGCTAAGTTAGGGACATAAACTCCAAATATGGAGTATATTCTTGTGTAAAAAAATATTTAGTATAAAACTGAATGACAGTTAAGGGAAAGAAAGACATTAGAGTTAACTTTGTTGCCTCACATTTAAGATAGTATAGAAGGATTATTTAAGGTATGTCTTTGTTGAAACCCCTACTACACCTTTTTTTCCATTGACTAGGTTATTTATAAGCCACAAAGTGCTCATATTTCTTGTGTTTTAAGCTCCTGTTGTTTTCTTCTGTTAAAATCTAATTTTCTGTTTTTGTGATATGTGATTTGACTAAATGATATGTGTTGGATAGGAAAACCTGCTTTACTTCTAAATCATTCAATTACATTAATTATGCATCATTTTAGAAGATCTTGACATAGGAAGATATAGATACAGAGATTGCATTTACACAGAATTCTGCATTATATAAAAAAATTCAGTAAAATGCAAACAAATAACTGTTGTGTGTTTCTAAAATGTAGAAGTCACAAGACTATTTCAATTTCCCAGATCTTTTTAACTTAATGCAACGTGCGAAACATTCCAAGCATCTTCTTCAAAAACAAAAAGCTCCAGATGCATATATCCAAAAGACATAGGAGTTCCTTAGCAAGGAGGGAATTAACCAATACAGATGATTTGGACCTTCCTCCCCCAGTTGAGAATTTAGACAGTATTGGTACCATGATAAAAAAAATGTTATCTGAGTAGACTCTTGGTTTTCTTTTTGTTATTTCTTATTATATTTCACACATTGTAAAGTAAAGCTCAAATAACCCAAACTGTTAAATTGAAGATTATATTAACGTTATTTTAACATTATTTGACTTTTACTTAGGTTACTTGTGAACTATATGCTCAACATTGATTAATCCAAAATACTAGATTATTATAGTGGAAGTCTGAAAATTAGTTTGTATTACAGAGCTAACTTTTAAAAAGTGAACATGTATAATACTATCATTGTAAAAATAAAACATTTTAACAGCAGCTAACACGGAGAAGCTAAATAATGTTGTTAGAATAATCTGTTGATCATGAAATCGAAATCCATTACCAAACATGCTTGTCCTTTCAGCTGTGGTAGTGTTATAATGTGATGGTCAGTCCCACTGTTTGTTGGTTAGCAGTTGAAAGTGAACAACAGTGGTAGATACCCTTAGTGGCTTTGCCACAAATAAATAAAAACTTTTTAGCTTTCTTTTTATTCATTCCCTAATGATTTTTGAACTTTTGAAGATAAAATTATCAAAAGCTTCATTTTACAAAATAAGTTGACATTAATCTAATTCTTATGTTGTTTGACTTTAAATTCAGGCTGCTTGAAGAATATTCGAAACGCTAGAGCCTTACTTTGGCTAAGTATGTATTAGCCTAATAAAGTGAAATAGGATTATTTGATTTCCTTAATTGTTACAAAGCATTTGAGAAACTATATAGTTATAAATACAATACGTAAAGCTCAAATATTGTCATAGATATGCTTATGAACATGCTAAAGAATATACTGAATTGTCTGAAATAATAATAAATATCTGAAGTTGATATGATTTTTTATTACAAATATTAGGCCTATTTGAATAACATGTCTGGAAAAGGTACACAGTATTTTTGTAACAGGTGACTGATAAGTGAATAAATCTTTGATTGTTACTAAATGTTCAATAATGCACAAGCTTAATGTATAGCTTTAGAAATATCCAGTATCCCATATATCACTGCATGTGTTTGGGTGTTAGGCAGTGGGCACTTTAGGTGATGCATTGTTTAAAAAATGCAACCATAACACACATTTTTACACACATGTATCAAAATAGTTATTTTCTAAATTTTGACATTTAAACTAGTAATGTAAGTGTTATGATTCAAGTATGTGTTAACAATTTTTATTGATAATTATAAGGAATTAATTCATTCCAGATGTAATAAAAGTTTTATCTTAAACAATTTATATCTAGTCTTAAATGTTTTTGAAGCACATTTATTTAATATGTTATTTTCTTGAAGAAAATTTTGTAGATTACACAATATTTTGGAAAAGATTTGTAAGTGACAGATAATTTAAGATAAAGGATGCATTTACAAAAATTCAATGTTATATTCCCCCCAAAAAAAGCCCCCAAAATATCAATAAACATTTTACTGAATGTAATTTGTGCAAATTTAAAGTTTTGAAATAAGCATATTTCCATGTGATCCCTTTTTGGGCATTTAATATAAAACAAAAAAGATTAATTTTTGAAAAATATTTGATATAATTTTTTTGCCACTTTAAATAGACAGATCTAACAGAGCAGAAGTAACAGTAGTTGAGTAAGGTTAGTTGGAATTGTGCAATGGTGGAAACTCTTACTAGGAATCACAAAAAGGACAATGAAATATCTATCTAACTATCTAAGTACAGTCATCCCTTGTTGGATGTAGCTCTCTGTCAGACCAGTCCAGTATTCTTCACTTTCCATGCTCAGATGGGATTTTTGCCTTTCATTAACAAGCTGGCTGGGCACATTGTTAGTGGGTATTTTTATAGTGAAACCATCACTCACAGTATTTTGCTAACTGAAATAGTTACTGCCAGCCATTGATCAAAATGATTCTTCTGCCTGCCAGCTTGCTAACTC